GCGATATAAGCGTACTGATTTTGTAAATCAAAAGTGCGTTGACAAAATCTTTTGTATTTTTCTTGCATGTCAGCAAAATTGAATCTAATATTTCCACGGGCGAACCGAGCCATGCCTTAAATAAGATGACTTGTAATTCAACGTAAAAGAAAAAACTTTACTTGAAAAACTACCTGAAAAGTCTGAACGTGCTTTGGCAGCTTGTGTGGAAAGCGTCCGAATAACGTCAATAATTTCCCACCGACTTAAGGAATTGATCTAAAAAGGGATGATTATTAAGAAAGACAGGAAGCCAACTGTAGTGACAACAGATCCAAAAAGAACTCATAGATCGTCAAAATTAATAATAAATAGAATGAACAAGACTGCAGGAATTAAAAACGCATTCTTTGTGACTATAACAAACGCATAATAGCTTCTAAGATCAAAAAATACGCATAATACTGTTGAAGAGAAATTAAGCAAAAAGATGCGAGACTTTAATTGGAGTTTAAAGTAACAGTACATAGCCCTTGCCTCTTCTTCCCGAACGCCGTAATCTCTGCATATCTCTTTAGCCTCTTTTAATGGCAATTTTCTGAGATCTGCGTTTGTGCCCGTCACCAAACGCTTCGGCACATTAGTCACCTCCTCCTGTAACTCCGGTTTTAAAAGTATTCAATGAGTAGGAGTGGTGAGATCGAAGAACTTAAAAAATTTGAAAAAAAAAACATATTTCTTCCGTAGGAAATAACTTCCCATACCACTTGAAGAAATGCTTAACAAAACTAGACGAAACGTAAAAGAAGCAGAAATTTACTTTCGCTTTTTGCGGTTTGGCACTAACACGGACGTATGAAAACCCTTCGCCACAACCAGTAGGATCCGCAATTCCAGTTTGGTCTAGAAGACATTTTCCTTTCATAGATGCGATGTATGCTCTCGTCGTATTCCATGGGGCACACTTGATCTGAACGTTGCGAGTGGAATCAAAGAATACATATCTTTTAAATTAACCAAGTCTGAGAAACAAAACCATTGAAAACTTTTACGGTAAAGACTAAAATCGAACATTAACAACTTTTCCTTACCTCGTCTTCAATCGTAACCTGATCGTCTGAATCATCTTCATTTTCAGGGGTAAAAAAGTACTTTTCACCATATCCTGCATCCTAAAACAAAAACAATATCATTATTTATCGAATAAGCAAAAAAACGCTTTTAAACCACTACAATGTACTAATATTACCTTCAAACGCTGCTCAGCAGCAAGCATACTGTATTGTGCGCAACACATTTCGGGAGTTACCATGGCAAGCACTTCTTCTTTACTTGGTAAGCGAAAATCGCCTCTTAAGACCTGAAGAAAAAAATGAAGAAAGTAACCGCTGACTGGTAGTGAGTCAAAACGCGAGGAAACTGTCACAATCTTTTAAAGCGAAAAGTAAAAATTGAAACCCAGTAATTCTGATCAGGACCCTGTCCCAGTCGTTTGAAATCTGAACAGTTTTTCAGTCTTTTACGAACGGAACTCTCCGCATAATGAGGAAAAGCAGATTTAATATCTTCCATCTTGAGCCTTAAATGTCCTTTGATGATAATTTGATACGGACCTTGTAAAAACTCTAATTAATTATACTTTGTGCTCACCTTCTCGGATTCTGATCACTCGCCCAAAATAAACGGTAAATATATGCCAACAAAAAATCACGAACAAACAAAGTTGCCCGTTTGGAGTTCGGGCTTGGTACTTCGTACAAGGGGCATTCTTGGCCAACTAGGAATGGAACTGGGCAATGACGTATAAAAAAACTAAAAATAAGTTCTAAAGTCAACAATAACTAAATGTATTAAACAATAATTTCTAATAAACTACAAGTAGAAAGATGAGAAAAGTGGGTTTGCTAAATTATTTGAAAAATTATGACCCCTGTTTTGTCCGAATCAGTAAGAAATCGTTCGGATTTGGAGAATGCCGATATATGGGAGCCCGATACAAATTATTTTCTACAGCTTGCAATCCCTGACCAGGGGAGAGCTGTCCGAGAAACGGAGTTGTATGGGTAAATGCGGTCTCACCGAATTCCCATTCCGGTTCAGCTTCTTTTCCAACTTTCTTTAAGATTTTATACCTCCAGTTAGCTCACAAAATATGTTTGAAGAAAAGCAAAACAATGCAAATCGAAGAAAAATTAAAAAATAACTTGAAAAAAGTCAATGAGGAAAAAGTTACTCGCTTATAATAATTTCTAATTTTGCTAGCCATTCCTGGTTGATTCAACAACGGAGGGTGTTCTTCAGAATATTCAAACATTAACAGCACACCATCTTTTCCAGAAAGATCTTGAACCTCCCGCATGAAAAATATTTCACCACCACCTTCCGCAGCTTTCTGTTTCTCTCGGAGCTAAAGTACTGATTACTTCAAAACAAAATAAGGCCCAGTAGTTCAATCGTCGCCACTAAACATTTTGAGAACTAACCGACTGCGTCAAAAGAACCGAAGTGAAGTTTAACAAAATATTCAGTAAAAGCTGCGTGAATAATAAAGTACCTCTTCTTTTTCCTTAATAAGCTTAGTTAGCGTTTTCACAACGACATAACGATTCCCTATAGTACGCAAAATTCGCTTTGGAAGTGGAAGACGATGATGATGTCTTAGTTTGAAGGGATTCAAATGAGTAGGAAAGAATGTACGATGAATATTTTGCGCTGGTATTGAATGTTGAATCAGCGAGCCTCCAGAAATTGAGCTCACAGTTCTATAACTTTTTGTAATTATTATACATAAAAAAGGCAGTAAAAGAAGCTGTTTCCTACCCGTCAAAAACCTCAATAATCAATTTTTATCCTATTTAACAGAAAAAACCATAGAAGTGGAAAAAACCAGTTACAGGAATCTACCTGCCAACGTCCTTCGGCATATAGTAATCATCATTGCTTAAGTTGAAAGGATCTTTATCAGTTAACTGCGCTACCGAACTTTCCATCTGCTCATCTTCTTCCTGTTTCTGCCGTTGCTGCACTTGCCCCAAAATCATCTTCGATTTTTTCGTGAACTGGTGTTCCTAAAAAAATTCCCCAACTTTAATTGCTATTTCAATTATATAAGTTCGTCCTAGCGTATTCTGACAATATCCATTCTTTTGAACCCAATATTTGATGAATATTACTGAAAATTCTTAAAGTAAATTTTTGATACATAGTCAATTATCATAAATGTCTAAAAAACCAACCTTCCTATCAAACGGCTTTGGAGGGCTTGAGTTTTCTCCATCGGCAGGCTTCTCTTCAGGTGCCTTATCTTCCGGCATACCAAAAATTTTAGGGTCATCGTGGTAGTCCAAAGTCAACACTCGAGGCTCTAAAAAAGAATAGTGTAACAACCAAAAAGAATTCAAACTGGGCAAAAAAATTTCGATGTTATCGTAAAACCAGATAAACTGTGAGCAATAAACAACTTTAAAAAAGAAATTAAATTTGCTATCTTAAGAAAGTGGCAGTTACATGTCAAATGGGTAACTGTAGAAAAACACAAGTCTGGATCAAACCTAACACTCATAATTCTCTGCGGTAAACAACAAAAATAACAGGCCTGGAATGCGATCCATATTTTCAGAATCCCATATAATGTCATCTTCCCAACGCGTATTTAAAAGGTCATAGTTTTCCATAGGAAATATAGAGTGTGTAGAAGTAGGCTCCTTCGGAAAATCTGTGGAGGAGTTCAGATTTGAATTAACAAGTGATAAAAAGTTAGTGTAAGTAAAGTAATTTAATATGAACAGGATAACAGATTTCAAAAAGCTGCTTACCAAGATCAATATATCTAGTCGAAACTGTCATTCCAGGTTTCGAAAACATTTGGACAAAGGCATTACTTTTTACTGAAAATTTCAAAGTCAAATCTACGATATCAAAGCCTCATTACCACTTTCTGCTTCAGAAAAAGTGGTACAACATATCAATCAAAAATCGCATGATAACTAAGTAGCAAAGAGAAAGTAAGAAAAGCAGTTACTTACAGGAAGTTATAAAAGACTCATAATTCCTTGTTTGCTGCGTTGGAATCCACCCATATTCTGGTTGTTTAAAACTCGAAAAGTCTTTAAGAATCTAAAAAAGAATAATGCCATTATAAACGTTCACGCCTACTTCTAAAGCAGTGTTACAGCAACACTGAATCAAAAACTAAAACGACTTTATTACTTGGTGCCGGGCAGCTTCACCATCAAATATAATATCGTCTTCCCAACGTACTAAATTAACGGGAAGGAAAGTCGACTGTGGGAAGGGATCGACATAAGCGACTCCACCTTTCGCTCGTCGTTGTGATTCATTTGTTTTATCTTCTTTAGAATTACTGTTTCTCCTTACCCTTTTCTAAAATCATTATGAAAATCGCAGAAAAAATTGACAAAATAAGATTGCAAACTGTGATTAGCAAAGACGCAATAAAATCAAAACAGTAGTATCTATAGTACAAGAACCCTACAGAGTAAGTTTAATTCAGCTTACATCATGCTTCAGCTTGAAACCGTAGTCAAACGATGAGGGATTGGAAGAAACACCTAACCTATCATACCAAATTCTGCTTGGCCCGTATCTGAAGCAAGCAATAACTTGTAATAAAGATTACACTCAACGAATTGCACTACGAAATTAACGTCAAACTTGCCTCCAAGCAGGAATTTCTTCACCGTTAGACTCTGCATGATACTCCGCGTTCGAAGACCTGTAATTCGCAGGTCGCATAAGCAACACTTCGTCGTCAATAACACATTCTTCCGCAGATGGTTCGGGAGCAAAATTTAGTTCCAGCTTTCCCTTAGTCTCTGACGAATCCTCTGTGTCAGTTTTCTGTAAAAGCATTTTTAGGATGAAAAGCAAAGCAAAATAACAAAATGGTTCGCAACTTTCATCCACTACTTACAAGCCCTTCGTCTTTCACTTCGCTAGTTTCTGTTTCTTCCTTAATTTGCTTTTCAACCTCTTTCTTTTCTTCGTTATTCTCGTCACTGACTAGCGCGGCAGAATTCTAAACACTGACAAAGTACAAGCACACAAAAAGCAACCTTTAAAAGCTATGTAAGCATCAGTAAATGTCCAGGTTATTACGATATATAAGTAATTACACTAGAACGATAGGTCTTCACAGGCCACCATATTTCCGTCCTTGAAGAAGATTTTATATTCGCACCAAATAATCGGCCAAATCGTAATATACCTTCTTGCGAATAGTGAGGAAAAAACTGCCTAAATGTAAGGGCCTCGTGAGAGATAATGACATGCCAGTCCAAGCTCCAATGAAGTAAAGGAAGATACAAATAAACCTTGGGTCAATTTCGTCTAGTTCGGGATTGAGCAGAATCCCGGACAAAGGGGCATCTTCACGTCGAGATGGCGGGACAAAGGGAGGACCTTTAACGCGCTCTAGAAAAATGATCGGAAGTCCCCATCGATGACATTTCCGATAAGTAAACAAACTTAGACTTCCATCAGAAAAGATCAGAAAAGGATTATAATAATGCATAAAACTTGTAAGAAGCTAACCATCAACGACTGGTTCATAAGCATCGTCAGGTAAAAGTTCTAATCCAAGCCCTAATTCTTCAGTTTCTTCACCTATCTCTGACTTCCGTATATACCATGCTAAAAACTACTGTCCAGAGAACTACTTAATTTGTTATAAATAATGTTTTCTAAAATATTTACGAGAAGTGTACATACAAACACTAAAAATAAATAACAGTGTAATTTCTTTGAAACCAAAGAAAAAACTAACGCTCATTAATTGCAGAACGGTGGTTATCATAATAATCGCTATGATTTTCCCCTTCCTCTTGCTCATCTTCTTCAACATCTTCATTCTCAATGTCTTCGTCCTTAACATGGCCCTGGTTAGTCAAAATAACGCTGTTTTTTATTTGGGAATCTAAAAACAAAAACAGTAAAACTGAGCGAGAAAAAACAAATTATTTAGAAATGTGGCAAAAATTGGTGTTCAAAAGTTGAAAACATGCAGAGTTATAATAAAAAGAGAAGCAAAGTAATAGTTTCAAACAAAAAAAAAAAAAAAAAA